GAAATGTTATTCCTTACACTATTTGCAATCACTTACTTTCAAGTACAGTAGAAGCTATTTGTTTTGAAATTAACAAGCCTAACAGCAAACCTTTACTGATCTCAACATGGTATCGTCCTCCCGATGCCAAGATAGAATTACTTGTCCCTTTTAAAAAATTTTTACAGAACATTGATGAAGAAGACAAAGATTTTGTTATAACTGGTGATTTTAATTGCAATTTTCTGTCAACTGAAAATAATAACCAACATACAAACAAATTGATTGAGTTAATAAATGAATACCAACTACAACAGCTAATCACTAGCCCGACAAGAATTACTCCTAGAACTAAAACTCTATTATACATTGTTATCACAAAAATACGCACACAAAGATAATTAAATTGAACAAAAATCTCGGAATAAGCGACCACAGCCTGGTTTATGCATGCAGAAAGGTTAGTATTCCAAAAGCAAAACCTAAAGTAGTAGAAACAAGACAATTCAAGCACTTTAACATTACCAATTTCCAGCAAGACCTTAACCAAGCACTTAACTCAACTTTGTTTTACAATTGCACTGATGCAAATACTGCCTGGTACACATGGAAGGAAATATTTTTGGAAATTGCTATAAATTCAAATCGATATTTTTCAATTTGAATCTATTTTGTGTAAATTTAATTACCTTTTAGGCAGTATAATGTAGTTAATTCAATTTCAACCAATGGGAACCCTGCGTCGTTCTAAGCAACGCCCAGACGTGTTTTTATTAGCTAGGCTTGCAGGCTCTCTCTCAAATTTCAAAGAGAGTTCAAAGAGAATCTGTTCGCAGGCTATACAATTGGTGAAAATTGAGTGAGAATATATCTTGCAACAATACCGACCCTCTTAACTACGTGACACCAGTGACTGATCCACAGGGCGAAAAGCGCGTCATTAATGACCTTTAATAAAACCACTAAAGATATTAAATGTGTGTTTACACCTTTAATATATTGATTAAAGTTTGTTAAATAAGAACTTACATTTAATCACATTTAATAAGACTAAAAGACGTGTTTTGTATTACCTATGGATTTAGTTATATTTAGTCCAGCTTTTAAAGCTGCAAAAACCCGACTTTAAGCTATACTTGCTTTAGTCACTTTTAATCCATGTTTCAAATTTGATTAATGCTGCCATGCGATTTAATCACCTTTAATTTGAAGTTTAAGGAAGTGAAAAGGCGAAGGTTAACATTAATTGTTTTTATTGCAGAAATGTTAAAGGGGATTAAAGGCAAACTTATTTGCAGTCATAGCAACCGCGAGACATGATGATATTCGACGCATTTGTCACAGCTGATATAGACAAACATAATTATAGCCTATTATCCAATTCACCGTGATTCTCGCCGTTTTAGAAGTGAAACGCTCTTGTATATTCTACCAATTTATTGTGTTAGAACGCTTGCTAAATAATTAACAATTATTGGATGAGGTTTTTGTGATATGCGGAATTATCAAGGTCGAGGTAAGCGTTATCAGCCGAGCCGAAGGCGAGGCTGATAACGCTTACCGAGACCTTAATAATTTTGCATATCGCAAAAACCGAATTCAATAATTGTTTTATTATACATTTGAAGAATAATAAACATAGTATTTTAAATAATAAAACAATTATTGAATTCGGTTTTTGCGATATGCAAAATTATCAAGGTCTCGGTAAGCGTTATATTCAATATGATTTCTGGCAAAGCTGTTCAAGTAAAACGTTTCTATAAACAAGTCTCCGGAAGTCCAACAGTTAAATTAATTACAAATATAAAAGAAACATATTATCGTTAAGATGTTAACGTATTAAAATATTTACTTGTTAAAGTAAACATTACAATTATGAAATGTACATTCATTTGAAAATTGAAATGTACACTCATTTGAAATGTACACTCATTCAATTTCACGCAACCTAACACAAAATTCAGTTATCTGCTAGCAGATATCTGAGTTATCTGCTAGCAGATAACTGAATTTTGTGTAGGTTGCGTGATTGCGCGATTTAACTGTTAGCTCTTAGCCAATCAAATTGCTTTTACCAACTACAATGTATAATAATTAAAATTATCGGTGATATGAATAGCGTTGGGAATTACGTTTTTTGCGATCATAAAAATAAAACAAAAGTTGATGGCATTTATGTAATAATATTTGACTAGTACATGTGTATAATTATTTGCTATATGCCTGCAGCTTATATAGTATTTTATAACCATGACCTTTTGTCGAGTTTTGAGACTTACTGTACTTATGTACTTACGCATGGCCAGTTGTGGCACGCAATGATCTTTCCTGTCTCCTTGCCACTTTCTGCAATAATATGCTGCCTTCGAACGTAAACCATATGCTTCTGCCTGGGCTGTGACTTTGAGCTTGTTCTCGATCTGTCTGTTTATTTTGTCCTTTAATTAGACGGCATTGTTTTGCATTTCTATTGACTCTCTACGGTCTTTACGGGTTTTTTTCTCGCAATTTTTTGTTACGTCTACGGCGTTTACGACGCATTTCCTCAGCGTTTAATATTTGGTCTTGAAAGACGTCGTTGCTTGGCAGGTAAACAATTACTCTGCTCAGCCTCTGGTAGCACTGGGTTTGAAACATCCAGACGGCTGCGCTTCCCACCGTTCAACAAGTGCGCCACTCGCTGTGTGGAATGCTGGTTAAAATGCGCCATTTCAACCGGCTTAGCGCAATAAATACTACCGAAGGCTTCACAGAGTTTTAGAGTTTCTATACGTACCAAACTGTCGTTGCAAACTGAACAATGTGATCTAACATGTATTAAATTCCCGCGCGCGCGGTCGGGTAAACTGTCCCCGGTTGGGTAAAATGACATTTTCGTACATGGATCTGTTTGTTCAACCGATGAATCAAAACAATGGCGATTTGTTTTGACTGATGCATTTATGTACGGGATAATTTGTGAACTGCTCAGTACTGGTAAACAAGCACAATTTATACTTTATTCGCTGCTTTTTGGACAAAAAGAATTTGACTTGTACATGTGTGACTTCCCCAGTGTAACAGAAGAAATACGAGTCGACGAGAGATTCCTACTGTGAAAATATTATACAGCCAATAAAATCACTTGCGATCGGATGACGTTCAATTATAAACAACATAATAATGTACCAAGTTGCCAACTGCCAAGGTTCAAAGTCCTTTTGCGACTCAGGCACACAGTCACAGTATACTATACAAGTTACCTGGTTACGGGCGTTTCTCTACCAGACCAGTATGTTTTGTTGTTGCAAAATGTTGTAGAGCAGAACAGGCTCCTCAGAGAACAAATGGCTAGTGCAATCGCTAGTATAAATGAAACTGCGCTGAAGCGCATCGACGACAAAGTGAACGTTATGGCTCGAACAAATACTGGCAGATGACGCGAGTCAAACAGACTGGACAAAATAAGCAGAAAGTCCACAAAGCTTGAAGTGTAAGTATGGAAACGTTGAGTATGTTTATAAGTTTATTTCCATTTGAAGAAATCAGATCATGCTAATTTATATTCTTATAATTTGACTTTGGCCGTTTGACCGTTGTAGTATTTGAAATCAATATTTGGTGCCAAAACTTCCATCAGAAATTATATTAAATTGTCATGTATTTATAATTATTTATAATTGTCCATGGCCACTGTATAAATAGTATGTTTCAAACCATTCCTATCTTGCATAATATGACTAATATTGATTAGAAGCAATTAATTAAAACAATAAATGCATAAAGTTAACAGTAAAGTATTATTAAAGTTGATTTCCATTTGGTTGTTAGCTGTTGCTACCAACTACCAAGCCTACCAAATTAGAAACAAGTGACCAATGTGAAATATTCTAAGGCCTGCATGTTTATATCGAAGCCGGGCTGGCCCGCTAAGCGAGACACCCCGGTAAGAGAGATCTCCCTGTGCAGTTTATTGTGCGTTTATATGGACAAGCGGGCTGGCCCGATTGCCGAGTTCTCACTTACCGGGATGGAAATTTCTCCATATAAACACTCAGAATTAAGCGGGCTAGCCTGGTTGCAAAGATGAAAGTTCAAAGATACTGTCGCAAGTTATCTTTTCATATATTATTAAACACAAGAGGAATTCATCCCTCTTACCAGGTTGTCTCGCTAAGTGTGCTAGGCCGGCTTCCATATAAACAGGCCCTATATCTTTCTTGTTCTTTGTATGGTGGATGCAATAAGTTTTTATTGGTAGCAACAGCTAACAACCAAATGGAAACCAGAGTGAGCTGTTTTGGAATGGTTTAGTCGGTCATTGGTGTATATGTCTTACAGCACTTACTTTGCTTTAAATTTACAGTTTTCTACATGTATATGATAGGACAAGCTGTTTTATGTGTGGAAGCTAGCTAGGTGGCCTACTTAGCGAAACAGCCCAGTAAATAGGATGAATTTTGTTTGCGTTTATATGATATTTTATCTTATTTGCTGGGATAGAAATTTATTTAATTTTTTATACTGCATTTCACTGGATCAATAATTTTTAAAAGTAATAACATGACTAGAGGGAAATTTGCAATTAAATTGCCCGACGCCGAGGGATGATTTGTGAAAGCCCGAGGACTTTCACAAATCTTTCCAAGGCGAAGGGATTTAATCGCTAATTTCCTGGCTATAGTCATATGTTATTAGTTAGTAATATTATGATCACCGAGGGTGTCGCGCGTGGTGTGTTGGTCTGTTTTGAATGCTGTTTGATTGACTTATGATCGTGGGATGAACACTTTTTATATATATGCACGCGCAGAAACACATTTCCGTGTTCATTCTTTTTAGGCATGCACATTATAAACCAAATTTTGGATCACAATTGAAATGTTCGAGATTGCGGAATAAAAAATGGCAAAGTGATTGTTTGTATGTGTACAGGATGGTGTTGTCAGACACTGTCCATAGTTGTGCCGATGATTTTCGATGAGATCTACGCACAGCTCTCCAATGAGAGGTAATGAGGTATTCCCCGGAAATTTTAGTAAAAGACAAAAGATTTCTTTGTCTTCTAATTTTCCCTCATCAAGTATGCAGGGGAAAATTAGAAGACAAAGAAATTCAACTAAATTTCCCCACCCGGGGAAATTTAGAAGAGAAAAGCGCATGCATGGGTATGAGGGAAATTCCCTTTCAGAACAATGAAAATCGTGGTGATCATGGTATTACAATATTAATTGACAAGTAGAATTGTCTTGTGTTAGACAGAGTAAATACTAAAGTAGTGCATTGCAAATACATATATAACATGTATTTCCATGCATTATTAATAGTAATACATATTTTGAGATGTACAGTCCTATAGCTGTTAGATTGATAGTGCATGTTTAGTTTTCTAGGTAATCAGTTGTGGTACTGTTTAGGTGGATGAATTGCCAATTACTTTTTTGGTTGGTACTTGAAAACACAATTACCAATACAGTAACATACATTTAATATTTATTAATTTTATTACTTTTTATTTTAATACTAGAATAATCTCCAGAGAAAAATCAAAGCTCTCAATACTGTAGATGAAAATTTGTACTTTAGATTGAATGAAAGGTACCGTATAGTCACAATCTTATGTGATGTTTATAATATAAAACTTCAAATTTGGGCTTAAAATAGTTCAGAAAAACTCTATCTAGTTAAACTTGTTAAGCTTCTTAATCCTGGTGACTGTACATTACCATCTATACATAGTGTAGACTATAGAGATTTTGTTGATATCTCACTCAACTGAAATCATGTTTTGTACATACATACAGATTTGTAGGTCAAATGTAAAATTTTATATACATAAACTAGAGCTAACCAGGCATCGAGCTTAAAAGTTCTAGCGTTTTCCACAGCTGTTCCTGTTTAGGTCTAATATATTATAATTATAAAATTTTACACTTGAAAATTTCCCTCTACAAACTCCTTCGACAAACGCTTCATAGAGTTTTCCCTTTATTGGTATTCAGGGTTGTTCAACCTACCGTGATTGTCATGTTATATTTGCAGTGTAATCTATTGGTGGATTTAAGGGAAGGGTTACAGGAGTTGGGGAGGGGTGGGAGTGAGCACCCCTGGAAAAATGGCTACTGTAACCCAGAAAATCGAAAAGTGGCTATTGTAACCCAGTTTTACTGTTCTTCTTTATGTACTAGCAGTGCTAATATCAATCTTGTTTGCCATTTCCTTTAGCTCGGAATCTCAGGAAAACGCTCAACTCTTTGGCAGACTTATTCAAGAAATTCATCATGAATTTGGTGGAGCAGAGAATTGTCCATGGTCACCTGTTGTTTTGAAAGGTTGATATGTTGATATTTCTCGTTCAATGAACCCTGAAATTTTGTTCATTAAGTCTAAGGCCCTGTTTGGCTACCATACATCACATTGTGTAAATGAATAAAATGTGCAAATCGTATACGTGTCAATCCGTATTTGTGAAAGGTGACAACCCGGATACTGTAAAATTTCTAAACCTATTGGATAGTACAAACATGATTCAAATGGTGTCAGGACCCACTCACCGACGAGGCCACACCTTGGACCTGATTATATCACAGCTTAACGATGAACTTGTTAGTAATGTAAAGATACAACAAGAAATGTACTCCGATCATCGTGTAGTCAAATGTGAATTAAAATGTCCAAAGCCACCTTTGTCCAAAGTTCTCGTGTCCTACAGATCCACCAAACACCTGGACCTAGATACTCTTAAACACCGCATTATATGAAGTCCTTTTCCGACCATAAAATTTCTGACGTTACTGAAATTAATGAATTGATAGATTTATAATGGATCTCTAAAGGATATTTACGATTCTCTATGTCCTATACAAACAAGAGAGATAAATTATCGTCCATGGGCTCCTTGGTACAATGATGACCTACGTGCAGTTAAACGCGAGAAACGACGCTTGGAACGGAAATTCAAGAAGTCTGGCCTTACTATTCACAAAGTATAACAAAAGTATAACAAAATGTAAGAAAGTTATAAGACCAGCTATTACAGAGATAAAATTAATCAAGCCGACAGAAACAAACTTTTCCGCCTTGTAAATGGACTATTCCAAAAGAATAGCAAAGCCTTGCCATCTTATACATCATTGGAGCTCCTTGTTGAAGAGTTTAACGACTTCTTTATCAACAAAGTTCGAAATATTAGAAATGAACTGGAACTGTACAAAGAAAACCTTGAAATAATTATATCACCTCAATCTCCGAAGCTTCCTCCTTGCAAGTTTAAAGAATTTCAACTACCCAATGAGAGCTCTGTGCAACAAATCATCAAGTCTCTGTCTACGAAGACCTGTTCGTTAGATCCTATACCTATTCCTGTACATAAGAATCATCTAGAATCCTTGAATCCTATATTTACAGATATAGTTAAAACCTCACTCTCGGAAGGAGTATTTCCAAACACACTAAAGATATCTCATCTTAGCCCACGTCTGAAGAAGCCAGACCTTGATAAAGATCTATTTTCAAACTTTAGACCGATCGCCAACATAGCTTTTCTTAGCAAAGTCTTAGAGAAAACAGTTGCGGTTCAAACACAAGATTTCCTGAATTCAAATAACTTTTATCCTTCTTTCCAATCAGCTTATCGAAAATTCCATTCTACAGAGACGGCGTTACTGAAAGTAACTAATGACATCTTAAGAACCCTTGACAATCACCAGGATGTCATTCTTGTAATGCTTGATCTATCGTCAGCTTTCGATACCTTAGATCACGATATATTATTGGCAAGACTTGAATCATATTTTGGTTTTTCGGATACAGTAATAAAATGGTTTAAATCATATCTCACTGGACGTTCGCAATCTGTTGTAATTGGCGATGTTGTGTCCACATAAAGACATCTTGAATATGGCGTGCCACAGGGTTTAGTCTTAGGCCCCTTGCCATTTACACTCTACATAGCTCCACTTGAAGACGTCATATCGAAATACGACCTGGACTTCATGTTTTATGCTGATGATTCCGATCTGTATGTCGCTATAAATCCTAATAAACCATTGACGTCCTATGAAACGCTTAGTGATTGTATAAATGAAGTTATCTTGTGGAACACCAGAAATATGCTACTTTGTAACCAGGGCTGCATAATATAGCGGACCGCGGGACCATTGGTCCCAGAAAATTTTTGAGGTTGGCAGAAAAAAATGGAGGTTAAAACTGAAAAGTCTGAAAAGAAAAAAGTAAAGAGAAAGAAAGAAAGGAAGAAAATGAGAAAAAATGACCTAATTGAATAATAAGCTGTAAGTAGTGAACTAGTGATGTTTGCAACATGCAAGTAATACAAGTTTCCAATATACCGGTACAGGCGGCTCTCACAGCCTGATATTATGGTCAAAGACAGGCAGACAGCAGATATTAAGACGAAATCCTCTATGTGGTTGTTATGTAATATTTCAAATCTGACTATGAGGACTAGACTAGATTTCAAGCCCGCGCAATTTGATCAAGTCCGAGGCGAAGCCAAGGACTGGATCAAAATGCAAGGACTTGAAATCTAGTCCAGTCCGAATTGGAGGATTTGAAATGACATCTCATACGAATAAATCACTACTTAATTAGTTTGGATCCAGTCCATGCAAGGACTGAATTAATTTTGATCCAGTCCTAGGACTGGATCAATGTACTTCATCAGGTAGCCAGTATTATCATTTGAGCAAAATAAAGCAACATGGTTGGCTAATTTACTCATGAATTATTAATGAGTTTGAGATAATTGTTTCATCTAGTTAGTGTATTAGCTACTTCTGAAAATACCACTCCAGTTATATATGAAGACAACTCATTTAACAACTACAGTATGTGGATTAAAAAGTCTGAGTGTGGTGATTTCTTACAATGTAGTAAAAATGTAGTAAAAATCTAAGCAATATGTTCCAATACACAACAGCCTTCCGCCCTTCTCATGAACTTTCATCCATTAATTAAGATGATATTCATAACAAATATATTAAAATTATAAGAATCTAGAATCTTAAACTGCAGACAGTTCCCAGTGGTCACTTTCAAATATAAATGTTTGTTGTTAAATTAAAATATAAAGTATATTTATTCCGTAGCCACGTTGAAATACGTCTACCCTGCTGGCAGTGGTTTCGGAGCTGAGGAGAAACCACTGTGAGCAAACAAACGACTTTCTATTGAGCATGCACGAAGATCACAGGGTGGGACAACACTAATTTGACTTCATTTGCTGTAGTTTAACAGTTTGTTATCTGTATGCAAACAAGTGTGGCATAGTACTGTTTTCTTTGTTGTCTGTCTGACTTTTTATTCTACATGCAGTTCACAATTTACTTCCAAAAGATTTTGAAATCGGTGCCTCACCCTACACCTACAAATTGTGCATTTGAATTTCTGTTATATCTTTTCAAATTTTTGTATTTATATGATCAATTTTTTTAATTTGGTATGCAAACTTTATTTGTGTTACTTAAACGTTGGAAATTGTGTTAAGGTTTTCGATAAATTCCAATTTCCAAAGTTTCCAAATAATATAATAATTGTGGTTCCAATTGGTGTTGTTTTTGACAATTATTGCAATTTTTGATTGTCGCGAGCTCAACTGCTACAAATTTCGACCGCTGAAAGATCGTCACGACAGCGTTTTGTTTCAGTGTGTGAATTTATTGTTACTCTGTTGAACTGTAGGCGATTTTCTAGTCCTCTCAATGTATAATTTCAAACATTTTATTCAATATTTTGTTAAGTTATAGTGTTTTGTAAAAGGTAGTGTATTTATAGCGTGTTGAGGCCCGGTCACACTACACAACGATAACAATACGATAAATTGTAAACACGCGATAATTGGCAAAAAAATTGTGTTAGTGTCCACACAACAACGAAAATGATAAAATTATCGTTTGACGATAACGATAACAATTTTAAAATCGCTCACCTGAGTGATTTTTTTTTCAGCCTGACGATAACGATACATTTTTGACCAATCAGCGTGTGTATATAAGTTATCGTATCGTTATCGTTGTGTAGTGTGACCTGGGCTTTACTATATTTAGAGTGTGATCGTGTTGTTTTAGTACAACTGGTTCGCATTTTACCAGCAGTACCAAGCAGTTACCCATGCGCAAAATAACAAAAACTAGTCAAACTTGTTTTACTGGTTTCTCATTTAATGTATTCGTCCATGAATCTCGACGGCGACTAGTAGGACTACAATGAAATGATCGTTTGTTTGCTCACAGTGGTTTCTCCTCAGCTCAGCTAGAAACCACTGCTAGCAGGGTAAAATACGTCTATTTTGGTTCAAATCTAATGAAATGATGCATACAATACACTGAACCTTGTTTAGTGGTGATCAAATTTAAACATAAGATTCACAGTGTTTGTGTGCAGAAAATATTTTCTTTGCCTGTGTGGTCCCAGAAATTAAAATATTTTATGCAGCCCTGTTTGTAACCCTGGAAAACTGAAGTTCTTCATCTCTCATCTCGGTTTAAAAAACATCAAAATCTGCAAGAAAATTTCTCATTTGCCAACACTACTGTCCAAGTGTCGGATAAACTCACTTTAGAGATTCCCGCCTTTCCTGTGGCTTTACACTACACATCAAAGCAAAGTGATTCTTTCTGCCACATGCGTTGCTGGTTTTTCCCCATGCTGGGCACATAAGTTTGTTCACTGCGTGAGACTTCCCACAGGATTTACATGCTGTAACTTTACGGCTTACCTCACCTCCAACTCGTTTCAGAGATCGCTCGAAACCAGGCTTCGCTTTGTCAACTTTATGAACTTTTGCTTCTTCTGACATCGCTTTCAGCTGCAGACACGTAGTTTCATATGATCTACATATGTCAATTAATGGCATCTTTCAGGGTTAAATTTGAAACTTGAAGCAATCTGTTTCGTATATTATTGTCCCGAATGCCCACAACGAGTCGGTTTCTGATAAAACTGTTTTTAAGAGTCTCAAAAATTGCATGTCTTTGTCAACTTTCGAAGGACCGTAACGTAGTGGTCAACTGTTTCGTTAATTTCCTGATCCCGCTAGTTAAAGCAATATCGTCTGTCGTATATCTCGTTCGCTTCGCCCACACAATATTCTTCGAGTTTTTTCATGACAATGTCAATGTTAGTTCTTTGTGACTCCTCTTCGAAATCGAGTTCCTCGAGTATATCCAAAGCGTCTGGTCCAATAGATGTTATGTTAATAGCGTTGCCGTTCGCATCTCCAAACTTAATTCTTTTAGGCGTGATCCGATTTCGTAGTTCTTCCGCGATCTTTGAAACATCTTCCATTTCACAGCTAGGTTACCAGTTAATTCGAGTCTTGACGGTGGCGATAGTTTGGCTTGAAAGTTTATGTCTGCCATTTTACACTCATCGCTATTCTTGCCCTGCCTTGTACCCAGGCGTCTCTTTGATAAAAAAACAGTGATGCGTATATGACGAGTTTACATGAAGTATTGTATTGGGGAGAGATGGGCGAAGGGGCTGATGGGAAGAGTGCACTTGACCTGCTCCCCAGGACGCACCCTTCCCAACAGCGCCTTCGCGCGTCGCATGCCTGAATACTTCATGTATAATTATTTAAAGCGCCTGGGTACGAGGCATATTCTTGTCTGCAGTTGACATATTGGCCCAAGGGAACTGATAGTGGGCCTGCAACCAGCACCCCATGTTTTCGATTTTCGCCGGCCGAACCGCCGGCTAAATTCCCATTGGCTAGCTGAGGCGATCGGTAATTAATTAACCTAGCGTGCAGGCCCAAGGGACAGTTTTGCCGTTATGCCAATGGGGATTGCTTGTCGTGAGGTGTTGGAATAGCAAATTACGACTGGGGTAAACTATAGTAACCTTTACTTGAGTTTCATTA